CATAAATTTTTCGAACGCGATATCAACATCTGTTTCGTATAAATATCATTCCATGTTTCAGTTTTTAACATTTCTCGCAATTTTTCGTAGTTTATCTTAACTTGTCTTTCATGTTGTGTTTTATGATTCATCTCAGTTTGTTCAAAGCCGATACTTAAAATAGTCGCGTAAATGTTTGTAATAAAAAGAGAATAGTAGTTGATTACTTGAATAAGAGGAATAAATTTTAATGTAAAAAATTGTTGATATAATTTAATATTGATGAAGTAATTTTGAAAAACAAATAAGGAAAAAAAAAATGAACATATTGAAATTTATTATAGATTTCTTAACATATAGCACAAGCAGCGAACAATCTGTTTTACAGTGGGTGTGTTCTTTAATTTTTGTTTTGTTTTTTGCTTTTGATTTTAATGGCGTCTTAAAAAATCCGCCATTACATTATTATTTTCGCGAACCCCCTCCGCAGACACTGCGAACCCCTAGGGGTTCGCGAACCACCGGTTGGGAATCACTAAACTAGATTACGTATACTGGAACGCGCTCACTATGTTAAATTTGTGAGCGCAAGTGTGCGAATAGCTACGCTGCTGCGGGTGGCATACCATCTCTCTTTCACACACAAGCGCTTATGAGTCAATAGCAGTAGTCAGGTGAAAATGAGCCAGGTGTGCGATACCCGTGTATGATTTTACATTGCCGTGCGGTATCTTTATCACAGAAATTAACAAATTATTGGCGTATTTCAAAATTTGTTAAAAAGCAATAAAATCAATAGAAATAATTTTTATTGTGACCTAGTTTACAAACAAAACAATACAATTAATCCAAAAAAGTTCTAATTTTAATTAACTAAATTATTCTAATTTAATTAAAGTAATCATTGTATCACTCCCTGNGTTACATTTATCACCCAATAATTGAAGTGTCTCTTCTATGGCGTACATTTGAATGCTTGTATCCATTACTGTAACTTTTTCAGTGGAAATTTAAAATAAATATATGTGTAGAACCAACATACTAATAATTAACAAGGCAATTATACTTATTTTTCATTAAAATTTTCGCGTATACATGTACCCATAATGCAGGTCAAATTATATTTCATTGTTTTAATCTCTAATTAATACTTATTTATGGAATTTTATGTTTTCATTGGATCTCCATTAATTTGTGCACCTATATGTACAACAATATTTAACCATTTCATTCAATTTAATCAATGCGTCAGGATGCTCATATGAAATCGATCACCCAAGCATATACAATGCAGCACAGGAATTTTAATAAGGACGTATTTACCAATTCCAACTGAAGCCACTGATAAAAAACAAAGCAATACCACTTGGTAACGAATAGAAACTTGTCAGAACTCCGTCCCGAAACATCGACCCTACTGAGCCTCAAGCACCACCGTCTTTGCTTTATGAATACTTGATTTCAGCATCCCGAACCCTACGAGTCCTTTAGTTCCAGTTGACAATGAATAAAGCGATGCCACTTGCTAATGAATCGGAACATGTCAGATCTTCGTCCCAAAACATCAACCCTACTGAAGCTCAAGAACTACCGTCTCTGCTTTGTGAATACTTGATTGCAGCTTCACCGGATCCTACGAGTCCTTGAATCTCAATCTGCCCAAAGCTGATATTTCAATTAAAGAACAACTACAACCATTGCTTTTACACCAACACCCCAGCTACCCACTCAGTAGTATGCGTTTAAAACAGACAATGCTCTCAGCCGCAAAACAAATAAACCCTTAACCCTCCCACGATTGTTGTCATGATTGCACAAACACCAACGTCTCCGTCTAATGTTCAGATAGTCGAACAATCAAATTCAAGTTCTTTACCACTTATTGCAGAATTGACAGTTTAGTTTTAGAACAATTCATTGCACCACAATCAAAAAAGACGTTCAACCAATTCTCAAAAACGTTTTGAATATCGCAGTCTTTCAAAAAGTTGTTCAAATAAGAAAGGAAGAGCACCACATCTCAAAGCAGAGTCTATGATTTTCACGGACATATCAAACAAAATAAAAATAGAAAAGCGGCATGAGGAAAACAGTAAAAGGAAACGAGAGAATAAAGAGTGTATATACTAAGAATTTGCTATCTTGACCAAATTTTGAAGAAAATAACAGAATGAGTACCTATGTATTTCCAAGAAGAAGATGCATATGAGAGATTTTCTTCTTAGTTCAGTTTGATGGTAGCAATAAAAAAGTATTCTACACTGAAAAAGTGATTAAGGAAAAAGTTGAAACAAACGATAATCGACGTGAGTTAATTTACGAGTTCTTTAAAGATAAAAAATAGTTTTCCATTGCCTAATGTTCTTGATATTTCTACGGCATAAAAATATTACCAGTACATTCATTCACTAGAACCAAGCTGCAACAAGGTTTTTATGAATTTGATTTCAATTTTTCAAAAATTGATTTACAAATGTTAGGTACATATATTTTAGGAAACTATTAGATGTTTTGAAAATAAGAAGTTTCAGTTCTGTTATTAAGAATTATGAGTTTTTGATTGAGAATATTATTTAGGTAATTAGCGCCTATTACAAGTTGAGACTAGTTCCTGACTTGTACTTGATACCTATTAGGACTGTGTTCATAAGAATTAAGGTCGTTGATGAATAACAACTGGTTAATTAATAAGTTTGTATTATTTGAATTATTAATTGTTAGATTCGTTGTGCCCTATAACAATTAGGTAATATAATAATTCAACATTCTATCCATTGCACCTCACAGCATCCCTAATACGCGAAGTCAATATTTTATATATTCTACTCCTAACAGGAACAGAGGATACTTTTCTCATTTTGATTGTGAAAATGTTAGCAGGAGTTCAATTTATAAAACATTCATTCCCCTGAATCTTCGGATTTGGAAAGGATGAGTTATATCAATAATGCATTCTGCAAATTTGTTCTTCGATAAGGATAATACTTCTCGTAGTACGAAGCAAATGCATCATAATTTTATTTTAGTTGACCGATAGAATTTTGAGCACAAACAGGTTATGAAATTTTCGCAATGTTTTTATCGGTTGTATCTTCAAAAGAGTTGCACATTACTGTAATCATCGGGGAATCTTGGATTATTATCTTCGTCGTGTGCAGACCATATCAATGAACATTACCTACATTAATTTCGATTTAAATATATTATTGCAAGTTGTAATTGTTTTCAACGATTTAAAACTTGCAGATTGCTTTTTAAATAAATTGCCAATATCAATGCCTTTTTCAACAGTTAGATGGTCCAATTCCATTAAATTGATTATTATTATTTAAATGCTTCCAAATTGATTTGACCTTAGTAAAGTTTCTCTTCACTTTTTGCGGTTTTTAATCAAAGGATTTTTTTACAACCCGCCCACAGCCCTAAAATTCAATCTTATTTGAAGAAAAGACGAAATACTTGTGGAAAATTGGATATATTTTTTTACAGTTTGATTCCTGCAATCAATAATTATATTACATATGAACAGATAAATAGAAAATACAAACGAAATATACCATTACATTAAACTTTTTACAGCATATATCTATATACATTTATTATATAAAATATTCCAAGATATATTAATACATTATTCTTGTACACTAATTAGGCTATGAACATAACAATTCTAACTTTTCCTGCAGTAAATAATATAACACATACGTATCCGGTAAATAACACGTATTTATACATATGCCTGGGCACTTTATCAGATCATTCACATAAATTTATTAAAATATAAACGAAGATAAAGCATTAAGTGATATGGCAATTAGTTATGAACAATACTATAAACAAAAGAAATTTTCATTTAATATTAAGTATACTTAAGATATTTCCAATAATTTAAACATATTTTCAAAACCTAAACAATAAATATATTTAAACATTTTAACAGAGGTAAACAAAAACACTACATAAAAAAATAAACACTACCGGTTAGTTGGTCTAATAAATTTTTCACAATTTTGCCATAACTGGACTTTTCGCTACGAGATTTATCTAAGATAAACAAGTTTGATATGTGTTAATAAAGATTATACAGATGAAATTATGGCATAATCAAATAAATCAATGATCAATCAAAATCATTAGAAATACGTGTATATTACTTTAAATATATTCCATAGTTCTGTGAATATACGTTTGTCAATAACAGTAATTTAGAAATATTTGTTTTATATGATGAACAATGAACGTAAAAAGTAATTAGACTAAACGCTTTTATTTTCAAGTTTATTCGGATTAAATAAATTATGAATAGGTATGTGACAGTCACTTTTACTACGTTTCGTTAATAATCTTTATGAAAAATTCCACTGAAAAAAAAAATAAAGCTAGCAGAGCTGCTGAGAATCAGGAAAATATTGCTGTGAAAAGTAAATAGAGAACCATAAAAACTAGAGGAGCCACGTAGAAAAACATTTTATTATAAGACGCATTGCAAACAGCACGATATTGAGTTTGTAATGCCGTTATTTTTTTACATAAGACCATCTTCTCATCAATCAAATCCGCATAGCGCTCTTTCAAGAGCACTAACTCCTCTTCCAAAGCTGTTATAACTTCAGGACTAATTAATGATTCTGATAATGATTTTTCCTTTGACACCGATTTTTCCTCTGCTGCTACATCTAATTTTTTCAATTTGTTGTACGTTACCATAAGTTCTTCTTGTAAATTACTTATGGTTTCAAGGAGTTTTCCATTTTCAATGCGTTTAATTTCCCAACTCTCTTGCAAAAATTTATATTCTTCATGGAGTTTCTTTAGTTCTAATGCTAATTTGTCAGCTCGTGAAGAATGACTCATCACCTGTTCCTCTAGATCTTCCACACGTTTTGACATTTGTTTTTGAACTGATATTAGTTGATATTTTAACGTTTTTGAATCCACGTTGTCATTTTCCAGATCTTTATTGTCGTTTTTTTGTGATTCGAAACCATTTGTGCAGTGTAGATCCTATTTAATGAACAAATAAAAATGAAAAAAAAATGTATGAGTTTATAATAATTTAAATTGTAATTCAATTGTTTAGTTAAATACATAATAGAGACAGTAACATAAAATAATGTAAATTAATATTTACTCTTATATGGTTAACTGAGGAAGAACTCGTTTCGCTGTCGTTGATTTCGTGAAAAGCGAATTTATTTTTGTTGTTAACTTCTTCCTCCAGGAGGGTAACAGTGGATGTGTTTTCGGAGAATTCTTGAGTAATTTCGTCTTTTTCATCAATCATAAAAGAGATTACATCAGCATCATTCTCTTGTACAACAGGAGCTACCTGAATTAGAATTTTAAAGAATTAAAACCTACTTAATTAACGGACAAACATTTTATCTATTAATAACATAAGAAAACATATGAATTACAATTTTTAAGACTGCGAAAAATGCTTCTTTTGTTTGTTTATGCAACATAAATAGGACTACAACAAAGTGAGTTTCAGAGATATTTTCTGAAAGAATTTTCAAGATAAAAAACATCATTTGTATTTTACTTTTCTTTTTGAAATCGTGGTAGCAATACATACAGGGTGTAACTGAAGTGCCGAGCTTGCAAGAGATGATAGAGAATTATAAAAGTTTTACATTAAGTAATGTTTGTATGTCCGAAAGTTCATCGTTTTCGAGAAAAACATAGTTGAAAGCACAGGCAAATTCAATACCGGCCCTGGTCTAGAAATATGACCCGCAACGCCGCACCCAGTCAGGTAGTAATTACCAGCATCAGTATCGTATTTGTTTCGTACTTTTTTTGCTCCTGTGTTATTTGTTAAATTACATTAAGTGTGATTCAGGGTGTTAATAGTCAACCCCAATAAAGTAATTCAACAAAAAAAACATTAATCATTATTATTTGCATGTCACTGTTTAACAGTTGTTATAATAACGTTGTATGATACTTATTTCCGGGTTTGAACAATATCGCCGCTGTAGGAACGAAATCCTTTGTTTCAATGAAGACAATCCCTAAAATTATACACACGAAATAGCAAGCAACGTTGGCTCCTCTCATGTGACAATATGGCAAATTAAAAAAAAAAAAAAACAGCTGCATTGCAGTGAGTACACAGCTTACTTAAAACTGATTTTCAGCCGGGAGTGGATTTGTGTCGGTGGTTTCGAAAGAAAAATGCTGTATAGCCTAATGTTTCATGAAGTGTTGTTTGCAGACAAATTTGCTTTAGGCGGGATGGAATTTTGAATTTTCACAATAATCACTATTGGCGCGACGCAAATTCGCATATCGTAGATACATACTTCGTGATTTCAAGAACTGCTTACGGTAAATATGTGGTGCCAAATTTTTGGAAACTTATTTGACTTGCGATATTTGACAGGATGAACAAATGTTCTTATTTAATTTATTGTTATCGGGCGTCTTAACATTATGTGTAACACTAAATTGTTTATGTTTATTTTAGACGTTCGATAATCGGTAATGTTTACAATCTCCATTCGAGTGGCTCCACTGCGCTATGCGATAGACACCTGTGTTACCAATTCACGCACAGTTCCGGCTTCGGATTGTAAATTATTGTGATTTTCTTAAAAAAAAAAGAATTTGCCCTCAACAACGCTGCTGAATTCACCATGAGGTTGTTCATTGCATCTAGTTCACACCCTCCGAAGCTCGGCATTTATTTCTGTTATACCACATATATATATGTAGTTGTAATGCAAAAAGTCAACTGTTTGAAGCATTTCAGAAAATAGATGTAAAAAGCAGAAATTTTTATTGCTGTTATAAACATTCAAGCAAATGAAAAAAATTAATAAGCTTGCACATACCACCAAATCGATATGATCGTTGGTAATGTTAGTATCAAAATAAGAAATTTCGCTAGTATTTTTATTATCACAGTTTTCAAATTCTGCTAAAATGTCTTCTTTATTATTGCCATTTTCTTTGCACACTAGATCTCCTTTCTAAAATGGAAATTTGTTTGTAGGATAATTAAATTAAGTACAAACAATTACTTAGAAGTGCATCAAAAAACAGTATTTTACCTCAAATTCGTCGTGTGCTTCGTTTTCAGAGGACTTTTCAAAGGCCTTGTTGTATTGTTCTAATTTAGCTTTCAATTCGGTAACTGCTTGCATTTCTGATTCAAGCTTATGTTCCAATTCTTGCCTTTTCTGTTCATTTTGTGCTCGATCTTCTTCCATTTTACGTTTTTCTTCTGTTAATTTTTGAGCAACGGCCTTGTGGGAAAATAGAAATATAAACAGAATAACTTCAGTATATTATTAAAATACCTGTAATTCTTGTTGCACTTGTGCAAGTTGTTCCTTTATCAAAATCGCTTCTTGCTCTGTTGAAATTCTTGCTCTTTCCTGTTCAGTGGCTAAAGCAACAGCTTGCAAACGTTCTGCATGAAGTTTACATAAAGTTTCTTTGGCAGTTAATTGATATTGGGTTTTTTCTTCCTTAAAATGTTTATATTTCTAAATTGCTTGAAAATACAAATCTGTTAAAGTACCTGCAGTCTTGTTAATTCCTCTTTTAACTTGTCGTCTCCAAAATTTTTCACAGCCTGCTGAAGTTGGTTCTCTAATGTAGCAACTCTTGATAATAACTTTTCTTCTCCAATATATGCCTAATATAATATTAATATACAGATAAAAAATAAATAGTTTCATTTTATAAGATTGTTATTTACCTGCCAACTTTCTTCTGCAGATTTTCTTGCTTCTTCAACAATTTGTTGTAAAGTACACAACTTTGTTTCTAAACATTGCTCCCGTTGTGAAGCTTCTTGAATTATCTGGTTTAGCCTGTACAATTCATCTAAAGGTATATGCCCTATAATTTATAATAAATATGTATCAAACTAAACGAATTAGAGAGAATTGAAGATCAGTGCCTACATTAATTGTTAATAGAATCCGAAATTGAAATGAAGAAACAATGATGATCGACGAAATCGACAATTTTACAAAGATAATCTTGAGCGTAAATAATACAAACAAATACAGCGAAATAAAATCGGAATAGAAAAAAACAACCAACTTAGAACAAGATTAAGCATAAGGGAGTAATTGAAATTCCACACGGTCTAAAGAAGAGCCAAAGAAAAAAATTAAGATTGTTGAAGAAAGAGAAACCTTACAACACATGTAGGAAGAACATGTTTACAGAAAAAAAATAGTCAACAATTGATAGTATTATAGAGTCCAAAGTGACATCTCATTTAATTACTCTACTATCTGATGCACAGCATGGATTCGTAAAGTAGTCGTTTGCACAGTCAATCAACAATGATTCACAAGTTGATTCAATCTACATAGACTTCAGCGGTGCTTTCAACTGTATAAACTTACCTACTAATGTTGTAAGAATACGTACTAAAATATTCGTTGTATCCGAGTACATCAATATTCGAATATTTTCTTTGATAAGACGTATTCAGAATAATCTAGTTTATTTAGCGAGCGTATGAATTCGAATGTTCAGTCGCCAGTGTTGGTGAGCGCACGCATCTACTACTACTTTGTACTGTGTAGTACATAGCAAAATAGCAATCAATTCGATTGCCGGGGTGAGCCAGGCCGTTCCGTTTCTCTTCTCCTTCTCCTGTTTCCGTATCTCTAATTCGTAACAATATGCATGCGCTTCGAAATAAGAGTACGTCATATTGGTAATACGTATTCGGATGATTATTCCGAATATCATTTTAATTCGATTCCGTATTCCGAATATTTACAACACTAGGACTTACTGTGCAACATTACTATTTGTTGTTTATTTTACATTTTTTTACTTTATTATAAATGATTCTAATTTACTTCTATAATGCAGATTACTCGAAACTTTACAGAACTACTCGGTCTAGAAAAGATGCATTAAAACTACAGACATTGTTGTTTGGCTGTCAAGAGCAGTGCTCGAGTTTAATAACTACAAACATCCTGTAATAAGTTTCTTTCAAAAACAGCAATAGCAATGTGGAATAAAAATAACAAAGAGCAAGCAAATGAAGAATAGAACAATGAGATCTCTATTGTGTTATACACCTATAAATATAAATAAAATTGAAGTTTCTATATGTAATAATGAAATGTGCTTTTTTACGCTTATATAGTACTTCTCTCTACACTAAATTTTCGAAACGGTTTAACTAACTTTGATAGGACTTTAGAGACATGAATTGAAAGTTTCCAGGGGTGGCATACTTTTTTTTCAGACGAACGATGTGGCACGATAAAAATTAGTCCAATCTTTTCCCCAAAACATTTGTAGATTTTCATTTATTATCAACATGTTTCAGTAACATTTTATACTCACAATAAAGGAAAACTTTTGTGTTTCATTCTCACCAGCTATTAATGTTGATGAATGATTAAATAAATGATTGTACAATCTACACTCAAGTGGAGGCTAGGGTGAACAAACCTCTTCAGTCTTCTTTTAGAAATCGTGGAAATGAAAGAAATAAAAGTAGAAGGAACTGACAGATTATCTATGTAATATTACTGCCCAAGCAATTGTTTCAATGATACAAAATCACATAAAAACTTGGACTAATACAAGTGAACACAGAATTGAAATTGTCTAATCTCAATTACAAAAGTATGATCTAAATAGTGGACCAAGCTGCTCGCCATATCCACCATGCCGTATAAGCAAATAGTGGAATTTAAAAACAACAAAGTAGATTTAAATTATGATCAAGAACTGATTTTGACAATTACATCCAAGATATTTATGTAACATTCAAAATATTTTTACCTTGTCTGCTAGACTCTGTAATGCTAGGACTTGCTTTAGCTTCTTTTCCATCAGGTAAATACAATTTTAATGTTGCAACAATACATCCATGAGTTACCTTGCGGTTATTTTCTACAACATCAACACCAAACTGTACTATATCCCCTGAAGATACTTCATGTGGTTCAGATTCTGAGCTAGAGAGTCTTGTATTATTTACAAATGTACCATTGCTACTTTTTGTATCCTGAAACATGCATTCAGTTTTAACAAATTATAAGGATACAGACAATCTATCTACCTGTAAAAAGAATTTTCCATTTTCATACCATAGTACAGCATGATGTCGTGATAACACTTTACAATCAAAAATAGCGTTTGTGGAAGTAGCTCTGGCTCTAGCAACTGAGCGCCCAATCTTAACTGGTTGATCTAAAGCAAGTGTTCGCTCTTGAAAAGGATGTGAATTTGGTCGAGATATTAAAACTGCTTTTGCACACATATTGCTGTTGGATGCTGAAATCACCTCATCATTTTCGGTTGTAGGAGCTGGGTAAGTAGCTACATTTTTTACCCAACTCCCACTTACTACAACCATTGCCTACAAATTAGTTAAATGTTTAACAATACGCCTATTTCGGTCACAGTTTTGTGCTTTTAAATGGCTCAACGTTTGGGAACCTAATAACAATTGCTAATAAACTTTCATATATCAATAAACATACCCTATTAAGAAGTTACTAAAAACGTTAAACAGATTTTTGTGACATTAACTGTGCTGAAAAAATATACTTGTCGATTCCTATGTGAATCCTGTCAACCTGTCATACGTATGTCAAACATTACTTATCCCTGACAAGTCAACATGAATACCTTCAATGGTCAATACCATTTCAATAATAATTTTAATAAAAACAATTCTTTGTGTAGTTTATCTTTCTAGTTTTTTTTTTTAAGTGAACCTTTTCATGGAACACTGAATGTTTTGAAATTGAATAGGAATAGCACAATGAGAAGACGCCGAGAATAGTCGCCGATTAATCTATGGCCGACATAGATGGCCGCTGAGCGATCTGGAGCGATCTATGGAATGGTCTCACTTTATCTTTATCAGTTGTAACTTCTCTGGTTGTAACCAGTGCCAATCTATGGTGCCAATCTAATTAATTTAATTAAAGAATTCATTCTTTTTCAAATCAAGAATTCATTTATTAATAGTGAAATTAATTAAATACAATACAAAGTTTTACTTCTGTTTTAATTTGCTGTCACTTTTAAAAGATTATAAAGAAATGATTAAGTGTTGTAGTAGTTTGCGTGTATCTCTTCATATTTGTATCTGTACCTGTAATTTGCTCGTTGGCTAGACCATCAATTTACCCGGCATGAAAAACGGTTCAATAATCAGCCGAAATTATTGTATTTGCATAGCACCTACTAGACATTTTAGTAACTGGCCCGCTACTTTAACTTCGACTCTGTCGGTTAATGAACAAAACATTTGTAAGAAAATTAGAGGGGTAAGTATGGATGTTTGAGTGACAACAATTAACTTGTATTATTTGTTTTGAAATTATGTTAAGAATTTCACAGCCATCTTCGTAAAAAATAAAACTATTTTAGTTGCTTTCACAAAGAACAGTAAATAATTTGAAAAATAGAGGGAAGACACTGTTTGGAGTTAACCAAATCCACCAGTAAATATCACACACCCTGTATGTAATTAACCCACATGTGAAAGTATGGATGGGAATCTGAAGGTATAGCTATTTCTTCTGAGAATATTGTTGCTCCAACTTTCTTACTGTAAAATAGGCATGCTTTTTCGCTACATACTGCATATCTCAAAAATGGTGAATTTTAGAAGTATGAAAGCCTTATGAAAATCTACCTAGAATCGGAAGTAGAATTCAAAACCGTCATAATATATAGGGTGTCCCATTTAAAATAACGAAGTTGATGTCAACTTTCGGTATAACCGCAAAAGCCATTTTTTTTAATCGTAGTAGTTTCCAAAATATTTAATAGGGAGTCACCGTGAGACAACCTGTATATATCTATGTATCTTAATTAGTTTGACAAATTGTACAACACACTTCATCATCATCATAAGGTCGTCAGTCCTAAGACTGGTTGGACATGTACCTCCACTCTTTCCTATCCTGAGCTAAACTTCGCATTTCCCTAAAACTAGAACAGCCCACATCCTTAACTATTTGCGAACAGTAATCTAATCCTCCTATACGTATACCTCCTATTTTTCTAAGTTAGAAAAATAGGAGGTATACGCTAATCTCCACAGTTGCCAACAATTTAAAAGCACAGTCGGACTATTCGAAAAACAAGACACTCCCATTATTATTTTCCGGTCTTTCTAGTTTTCTCTGGTTAACTTTGAGCAAGTGAAGACGGGCTAATGCCAAAAACCTCACTCACATCTTTTGGGATACAATATGAAAATTAAATTACTATAGTTAAATTTTTATAGAGCTAACAGTGACAAATTGGTTAAGACTTTCGCGACCAGTATGTGAACTAATGCTGTTCTGATTCGAGTCTTAAGGCCGTTGTGTGCTAAATTTGCTTGCTAACGTTTCGCTAGCATGAGTGGTTCTTCCATCTCTGTTCCATCCATAGATAATAGGTTCCATCTCCGATGCTGGATCTGCACCACACCCAACAGTATATATTCATAGACAAGGTATATATTTATGTATATATTTCTTCGAACTATGCTCCTAACCATACGTTTACTAATGAACATGCCTTAGCGGTCAGAATTGTGGTACAATAAAAGAAAGAGATGCAACGAAGTTTCGGACAATATTCGTCTCCCTCACGATAGTGCGTAAGAGTGTCATGAAAGAGATAGCGCTAGTCCGAAACCATACGCCATCTCCCTCACTCTTTTCGAGCCAAGAAATTATTATAACGACATACGGCTAAGGCAAGTCCATTATTTTATATGTGTATGCTCCTAACTGTCTTTTATCTATGATCGCGTCTTTTCTCTCAAGCTCTGCACCGACTTCAATCGTTCTATCCATGAACTGCGCATTCTCTGAATAGCTATAAAGTAAATTGAGGCAGAAACGTATAAAAGAAACAAAGCTTCTTCTGAGATTTTGGTCTACCTCACGGTCTCACAGGAACGGACGAATGAGATAAAAAACCTCTCGGTCGCTTTCTCTCTTTCTAAAGAATAGTCTGGAATAGTCAACATAGTAGTCAATTTCATAAGGGTATTGCTTAATCCATTTTCTATATCTATGGTTCTATTCATCCTATCAGTCATACCGTGCACTGTGCACTACACCATTTTTTGACATATCAGCTGGTAGACGGCTGGTAGTAAAAAAATAGAACATTTCCAAAACCAGTCAGTGTTTAAATTTCAGTTAGTTATTAGTATTCTGTGTCACGGGTTTTAAATAAGAGCTTGTGGGAAATATTACCTGCATGTACAATTTTGCTAGTTAAGTGAATGGTAATTGGTACTGATAATGATGTTTTCTAAGGGAGTTTTGCCGCGACAAGTATGTTATTTTTCAATAAAATATGCGTTAATTTTTCAAGTAGCTTCTAGTAACTATTTATTTAATTGTAACAGGGCCATGAAAATGCTATACAATTTTTGATTGAAATATACATTGTTATGTAACTGGATAACTTTAAAATTAGCAAAAATACAGCTGTATTATGCATTTTTTCTGTTTTAACGATAGCTTATTATAAAAAGAGTTATTTAATATTCATAATTATAAATATTTTTGTTTTAGAGTGGCAAAGTTACTAAATTAGTCTTGGTAGAAATCCAAAAAAGATGTTTCCACATATCTCCCTTGGCAGCAGCTGCATCCAAAGTTGCTATGAGCAACTTTGACAAGGATCAATACTTACCATATGAAAAGCTGGTAAAAAATCTAGAAGTAGTTAAAAAACGTTTGGGAAGACCACTTACTGCATCTGAAAAAATTTTATATTCACATCTAGATGAACCAGACAAACAAGTAAGAGAATAAATTATCATATTGAAAGACATTTTTTCGATATTTGTCTTCTGTTAATGAAATAGGTATTTTTATTTAAGTAAAGGAGAAATATATTTGTGTATAAGTAGAATGCAGAATTAAAACGGTAATTCATATTTTGCATTTGTAGAAAACATTTGATGAAATATGTTTCAACAATTATTGTTAATGAACCTATTTTTCTTAAAAGGTAGTAATCCTTTGCTCTAAATACATTCAAAATTGACCACCATTGTCTTAGAAAATTACAAAACCTTATTTAAATTTCTTGGAATAGTTGGAATTAATATGCCACTGCATTATCTTTGTTCTCAAAACAAATGTATTGTTCATAATTTTGGAACTGGAAAACATGCACAAACCTCCAGAAAATGTTGATTAAAATGCAATATTATACAACAAATTACATTTTTTCCAAGAACCACTTCTTCAGCTCTTAAATATAAATAAACTAAGAAAATTAATAGCAGTACTGTAGAACTTAACAAAATAAACACTCAGAAACCATAAAATGCCAAAAAACATTTAGAAAACTAAATTTCTATTTTGTTTAGATAAGTATATTATATTATATTTTTNAGAATACTATTGTACGTTGTCAATGTGAGAATCATAAATCTGTCTTGTATGTATTCCATGATCAAAACAACGTTCAAAAACAAAATGAAGTTGCTCAAATCTAGAAGTGTTCATTTTGTTTGTTTTAAATATAAATTAAAATAAATAATCATATCAGATAGGTGTTAAACCTGCTTGTTGTTCGGGTAACATACTTATACTATTTACTACATTTAACTAAATAACATAAAAATAGCATTTTATCCTTGACCTTTGTATTGTTTTTATATGGTTTATTTTTGTTTCGGTTTCAAACCTGCAATGTTGCAACGAACAATTTTTTAATAAAGTGAACATGCATCACCATTTGTTTTATATTATTATTGATGAAGTTATTAATCTTCAAAGTCAATTTAATTTATTTACTGTATCCTTAATTATACATGTAATGCATATATCAAATGAGAATTACAAATACGGAATATTCCACGATAAATAAACCTAGTACAGTTTGATTGTTTGGTCTTAGAATTTGATTTTTTTTTGTTAGTGCCTATTGTAACTATCGTAAACCGTTCGCGAGATGCCCTAGTGTAGATGAAAATGCAAAAAATATCAATCACAAAGAATTTTTGGCGTACCCCAATGTTAAAAATTAACAACATACAGAAAGAACCTGTATTTTTGAAATATATAATTACGTACAAATGAGTGAAAAAACCTAACGTAACCTAAGAACATATATACATACATGTTTTTTACACTACTAATTAATTTTTTAAATGAGTGCCGATTTTTCGATTGTTAAAATGATTCGATTATACCCACCACTACTTCTGATTTCGCAAAAATTATTTATATGGTAGGTTCTAGAGAATTTTGGCTTTCTTAGTTATACTAGCGTAATCGCAGCAACACGCTATAAGCAATCTTGGCCATATATGTAATACTCCTACATGAACAGTTGGCATAGGAAAGAATGCTCTGCTATTACGGTACCGACTATATTCTCTTTCTCCTAGGTAACACCTTAACCATACTGTGCATGCTTAAAAAATCGTTAAAATGATAACAGTGGACGCAGAATAAAGCTAGGGGCTCATAGGATAGAGAACTGGAAACACTATCTGTTTCACTTTGTTGGAACAGCTTCCACTTATAGACACTGTCCATGTAGGAATATTACATATATGATTCTGATACTGCTTCTCATCTTCGTGGGTGGTTGCTGATGTTATTACCATAATTAATTAATATCCAACAAACATACTAATCAATTACGCTAACTCAATAACTACAAAACGGGCAATTCAATCCAAATCCAAACTAACGCTAACAGCCACCTTTGCGCAAGTCTCGCACTATTACAACAGCACCGTGCTAACAATAAGCCAAATTGCTCTCAAACCCTGTATAATTTGCTACGCAGTGACAAACAGTACCCAAGTATCCTCTTTCGTCAAGTTTTCTGAGTAATTCGCATTTTTTGTTTTAATATTTCTCAACTACCTCTCCTATTTTATTTCCTCTACGGGACATTCCCTAATTTTCGGTGTACTAAAGTAATAATTAGGTACCTCTTTATTTAAAATGTTCGTCTCTTGGTTTTTACTTTCTAAAGTGATCCAATTGTTTATTCTAGCATTCCAGGGACCACACCTCTAATTTTCTTCAAATTTTAATTTCTTTTACAGTTCAGCGTGTTGTCTTTTCCCGTGAAGACTACACATAAGCAGCAATCTTTATAAATAACAGTTATTCCTAAAACTTAATAAAGCAACATAGAGGGCGCTAGCTTGAAAAATATCAATTTATTCAGTCTGTTTCTGCAGAAATCATGGCAACAAAAATAATGCACATTCTACAGGGTGGGCCAATGAAACGGGTCGATTTGGGAACACCATTACAAAAAAGTAGGGAGGAGGGAGCTTGGGTCTTAAATATTGCGAATATAAATAGCAAGAAATTAATTATCACGGATTCTTGATGGAGTAAACAACGCCCAAGTGCTGTTAAAGCTTTTTATTACCAAAATGGAGAAAATTTCGTCAGTGTGACGAGTGTTATTTTTGCACTACCCTTCATCGACTTACGATCTTTGCAATTCGAAATTTCAATTTGCAACTCGAATGTAAAAAATTTTTGCAATGAATTAAAATACATTAGAAGAATTAAAAATAAAAGAAAATGTTATTAGAAAATTAAACTAAAAAATTACTAAAATTATTAATTTCGATACTACAAAATCAAAATCAAGAAAAAGAGTGTGTGTTAATTTAAACTACGTGAATAAGACACTTATTTAGTTTTAGAGTAATATCTAATGATGATCATTTTCTAGTAGTTTTGAGTAGCAGTAATTCTTGACAAAAAAATTGCATTCCTTGTAAGTTAATAATAATTATAAAACAAAAATTTTAATTTCGGACGTGTGGTCTCTTTAAGTAATAAATTCAAAAATTTATTTTTATATTTTGAATTTTAATAATAATTGTCTTAAAGTAGTGAAATGAAAATGCTGATATTAAATAGTTTATGTAAACGGATGCTGACTAAATATTGTTGATCTGAATTGGCTTTTACCTTTTAATATGATGTTAAAGAGATGCTCACAGTTTGAAAATATGTTATCGAGGATGTGTTTTCTAATAATAATTATAATGATGCAATTAATAATTTTTATGAGAAAAGTTTAAATTATATATATATTATCTAAATGTACAGAGTTTTAATACAAATTCTGAGTTCTTGTTTTTCTCTTATTTTATTTTTTAGGACATAAAAAGAGGCGAATCATATTTACGATTACGACCTGATAGAGTTGGTATGCAAGATGCAACCGCCCAAATGGCTATGTTGCAGTTTATTTCAAGCGGCTTACCAAAAGTTGCAGTACCGAGTACCATTCACTGCGATCACTTGATAGAAGCACAAGTGGAAGGCAAACAAGATTTGGAACGTGCAAAGGATTTAAATAAAGAAGTGTATAATTTTCTTGCAAGTGCGGGTAAAAAATATGGGGTTGGATTTTGGAAACCAGGCTCAGGTATAGTTTTTTTTTCTATAGTAATAAATGTTACTCATTTGTTTATTTTTATAAAAGGAATTATTCATCAAATTATTCTTGAAAATTATGCTTTTCCCGGCTTACTCATGATTGGTACCGATTCCCATACACCAAACGGTGGAGGCTTAGGAGGTTTATGTATTGGGGTAGGGGGTGCTGATGCAGTCGATGTCATGGCAGACATACCATGGGAATTAAAATGTCCTAAAGTTATAGGTGTTAAATTGACCGGTAAGTTGAAAATTAACTTTAAAGAACTTGACAAAAAATACAGGTTTGCAGGAAAATTATCTGGTTGGACCAGTCCTAAGGATATCATCTTGAAAGTAGCCGACATTTTGACGGTCAAAGGCGGTACTGGTGCAATTGTGGAATATTTCGGCCCAGGTGTTGATTCGATTTCATGCACAGGAATGGCCACAATTTGTAACATGGGTGCCGAAATCGGCGCTACAACATCCGTTTTTCCTTTTAACGAAAGAATGCAGAAATATCTAGTATCAACTAAAAGAGATACAATAGGACAAGAAGCTAATAAATACCGTTCAGCTCTTTTAAATGCCGATCAAGGTGCCCAGTATGATCAAGTAATAGAAATAAATCTAGACACCCTTGAACCTCACATAAATGGGCCTTTTACTCCTGACTTAGCCAGTCCTATTAGCAAAATTGGCGAAAACGCAAAAAAGAATGGTTGGCCCATAGATATCAAGGTGGGATTAATCGGTTCTTGTACGAATAGTTCTTATGAAGACATGGGAAGATGCGCCAGCATTGCCAAAGAAGCTTTAGGCCACGGTGTAAAGTCCAAAATACCATTCAACGTCACCCCTGGATCCGAACAGATTCGTGCAACCATAGAACGAGATGGAATAGCAAAAATACTGAGAGACTTTGGTGGTACTGTAAGTCAATTAATTCACATTTCCTGATTACTATAGTTGTTACCAACACTACCATTTTAATTGAAACATTTACATGCCGGTTAATGAAAATTATCAATATCTAGTTCGATCGTTGCTCTTAGGATGAATTGATATATCTTCACAATATGACAATGTTTTAAACTATCCTCTGTTTCATCTGTGTATCATCAAACCTGATATTTTGTAAATGATTTTAAAACATTGTCATTATTCTTGCGATAAATTGAATTTTATGAAATTTTATTTAATTTTCAATTTATATTTGTCCCTTTTTTCTGATTTAAGAAACAAAGCCAAAGTAAGAGGCAAACAATTAATTACAGCAAATAACACCTGCGTTTCTCCATTTATTGTAGGTTTGTATTTTCCCGGTCAGTATTTTATTTTTTTTTACGGTAACAATTAAATATTGCGTCAATTGTCAAGTGATTTGTTTAAAAACACGGCTAATGTGAAAAAGGGTGAATTATTACTGGTCCAGTTAATTATAATAAAGTTAAAAAGTGTGTATGTGCGTGTGCATTTGTAATAACACCGTACTACATATCAGTTGCTAAAGAAGAAAAAAAAATTGAGCACTTGAATGGTTTCCTAGGAACCTACAGTAGATATGAAAAAAACTTAACCTCTCAATTGGCCCCATCGGACCCGAACAAACCGATATACAATTTCTGTGTTCATCTGGCTGATAAAACGAGATGATCATTATCAGAAGGCAAATAGGATAGAACACTAGAAAAACTGTATAATGAACTGAAGGATGTGAGAAGTACGACTGATAATGAAGCTACCGCTCCTTAACTAACAAGAAAAGAAATACCTACAAATAAAGTAAATTTGGCTAATGTAATTAATAAACAATTTAGTAACAAAGCATTGCTGAACAAACCAAAAATTCTAAGAGAAAAACTGTGAACAGAAGTGTGAACATGCAAGTTCCAAACTCTAGGTTAATGACAAAAGATGTTAAAGACTATATTTTTGAGGGTAATAAAAGGAATGCTACAAGTTCCAAGGCATTATTGTATATATTCTGAATGACAGAGATGCAAGGTTTTGGATAACTTCAATCCAGTACGTGTTAAAACACTTCTAATACAACAGCTCGATGAAGAAATTTTGTATTTTAGCATTTAAAATCATATGCGCACCCTGGAAATGGAAGTGCATCGTATTTATCAATAATAATCGATGAAGAAATTATATTATTGATTCGTGATAAAATATTTCAACAAATTTCTACTGAATTTCAAATCTAAGCATTTTGATGTCATTGTAGACTCTACACCTAATATTATACATTTCGATCAGTTTACTATGATTATTAGGTATATGAAAATAGTAAAGTAATAGCGAGGTTTTTATAATTTACTCCACATACTGGTCATAAATCCAAAAATATTGCGAATACTGTTTTAAATGTAAATGACATAATGAACTGTCGTGGTCTCGTGGTCAATCTTATGATAATGCAATTAATATGTTTCGTATATATGCAGGACTTCAAGCGCAAATTGGAAGAATTAATTGCGGACAGATTGCGCCTCTTACGCTTCACATTTATTTAGTGGGGACTTGAATAGTGGATTCGCTAATTGAACAAGAAGTTTTAAATTTTTTTCAATATCTATTCATTGTTGAGATGTTATAGTGAAGCGTACAAATCTGAGGTTCAAATTCGTTGATTTGCTTTAGAAAAAAGTGGCCTGGAAAATTATACATTGGCCTTTATTGCAGATAATCCAAAAGAGAAACCGAATATGTACACAATCGGAAGCTGTTGGACTGCAAAAAAGTTAAGAAATTAAGAAACAGTAATTCTAGTAATTGGAACGTAATTTTAGATTGTTTCAATGCTCCATAACTTTGTGGTTTTCTGGCTTCTTTTCGTAAAGATACGAGATATAAACAATTTTTTTGATATGCACAAAAAGCTAAATTGCTTCCTAGAGTTGAAAATTACTATTATTATAATACATGGTTGACGAAAAATTGGGTCTTCAGCCAAATGAGTAAAGGGTAAATAAAATAGTGGCCTTATTCTTGACATGATAATTTTCACACTAAAATAACAATTAGTGGGACGTATGTATGAACAGCTTCACGTTAACTTCAATTTCTTTGATAATTTATCTGAAATTGATACCAAAGAGTTAACAAGTCAAGGAGACGAAGTAGTCGATAAGTATCCAAAAGGTTTTTTTTATCCGAAATAAAAATCTATCTGAAACCGTACCTGAATAAATACATAAAACAAGTTTTCGCCCGGCCGTATATAACACTTAAAAATGAGTAGCTATAATAATCACTTATACCTAAGGATAATTGTTTTTCTTTCTGTGATTGTATGTATGTGATAACCTGGAAATAATTCAAATTTGTATTTTCCTTTTACAGTTCCATAAAAATTGAATATCTGTAACTGATACTATTGGATAATTCGAACTAATTTTAAATCCGTGTCTATATCCGGATCTGAAATTTCATATCCATAACATCGCTGTTTTGTACCTCTGCAGATTCAGTATACTCTGTATTGTTACTATGAAGATGTGCCTGATAATAGTAAATAGAATAAAAATATTTTATGAAGAGTCGGTACTTAAATAAAAATATGGTCGTTATCTAATACTACATAGTTAACATTTAAATCTAAGTGGTCAAACCAACCTTACTTAAAACGTAGTAGCAACTCGTGCCTTCAAAAATAGGGGAAAGTTGATTTATATACGAACAAAAAGGGCAAATACTGACCATTTATTTTATTGTGTATTATAGGAGGCATACTTAGGGTACTTTTCAATGTATCCAAAAACGTAACCATATGCACAAAGAATAATTAACCCTGATGAAGTCTGATTCACAATAAATAAAGACGAAACAATGGAGTTGGTTACCATAACAAGATGTTTCTGTCTCATTTTGGCTATAATTTTTAATTAATTTTGCCATTATAAAATTGATATACTTTTGACTGTTATTAATGTGGTTTGCCTCTCATTTGTTTATTTAAAAATTTAATTCAAGTTACTCTATATGAATGAAATATATGACCCACTTGTAAACAGTTTAGAAATTGTAATAACTTCTATATAAATTAATTATTGCGGAGTTATACCTACCACAATTTACAGGTTTTAGCAAATGCTTGTGGTCCTTGTATTGGTCAATGGGATCGAAAAGATGTTAAAAAAGGGGAAAAGAATACTATTGTAACATCTTACAATAGAAACTTCACTGGTCGTAATGATGCTAATCCCGCCACTCATGCATTCGTCACCTCCCCGGAAATGGTAACTGCTCTTAGTATCGCAGGAACCCTTAATTTCAATCCCCTCAAGGACGAGTTAACAGGTACATTGCAGTTTAAATCTTATTCACAGTTAAATATTAAAGAAACCACATCAAAAGCAAATTAAAATAAACGATTAGTATAACTCTACAAGCAATTTTGGATAAAAAAAATTAAAAATACATCGTGACGAGACATGGCAAGGGGGCATCTAATAAAATGATAATAAATGTGACGTTTGCAGTTCATCAATTTTTTTTAATTCTTAAAAATTTTATTACGATAGAGAGTCATTCTCGAGTACTTAAAAGCCTTTAAATGAACATGTGTTTGGGTGTCGTGATAATTAGCAATTTTTCGGTCAACTTCAAAACTTATTTTCACGTAGAACCACCTCTGGTTGAGAAAAATTCTTGTAAACAAATTTTAATCACAAAAAATCGTGGGCTAGCTTTTGTGACGTAAAATTTGTTAGTGGCTTAGCGTGACGAAAGGGGGGGGGAGTGAAATTCTGAGTGACGTATGTTATGGACGGTCCCTAAGTAATTTTCAAAACAAAAGCTATTTGGTTTTAGGTTTAATAACAATTTAATACATTTTTCAATATATTTATTGTCTTATATTCTATACTTATTGTCTTATATTCTATACAAGGTGTATTATTTTTTTGTTTTCAGGCAAAGATGGAAAGAAGTTCAAACTGTCATCCCCGTACGCTGATGAATTGCCGAGCAAAGGTTTTGATCCTGGCGAGGACACTTATGTTGCTCCACCAAGTTCCGGAAGTGGTGTTAAAGTAGATGTCGATCCTAAATCTCAACGCTTACAACTGCTTGAACCGTTCAAGAAATGGGATGGCAAAGACTACATTGATCAAACAATTCTTATGAAAATTAAAGGTAAATGTACAACAGATCATATCTCGGCAGCTGGTCCATGGCTTAAATATAGAGGACATCTAGACAATATTTCCAATAATATGTTTATTGGGTAATTTAAACTAAACATTTAGAAAATTATCAGTATTTATTATTTTTGTAATTTTAGTGCAACCAACTCTGAAAATGGTGAAATGAATAAAATAAAGAATCAATTGACTGGAGAATGGGGAACGGTTCCAGATGTTGCCCGTCACTATAAAGCAAATGGAGTAAAGTGGGTTGTTGTAGGAGAAGAAAATTACGGCGAAGGTAGTTCTAGAGAACATGCTGCTTTAGAGCCTCGTCATCTAGGTGGCACCGCTATTATTGTTAAATCTTTTGCTAGAATTCATGAAACAAACCTTAAAAAACAGGGTTTACTGCCTCTAGTATTTGCTAATGCTTCTGACTATGATAAAATTAAACCTGACGACAAAATAAGTCTTCTTGGCCTTAAAAATCTTGCACCTGGAAAACCAGTTGATTGCGAGATCAAACATAAAGACGGATCTACAGATAAAATAAAATTAAACCACACCATGAATGAACAACAAATCGAATGGTTTAAGGCTGGAAGTGCGCTTAACAGAATGAAAGAAATTAAGGGATTACGATAAAAATTTTGAGGTAGATGGTGATTCTTTTATGTAGCTGTGGAGTGTATTTAGTTTTTGTTTTCAGAAACTGAAATTGTATGTATAATGCTCCCCTTTCGATATTTCCAAACAGCAATCAGAAACAATAATTAGAGAAAAAATATTTTCCGTTATTTAATTATTATACAGTGAATTGTACACAACTTTAATAAAATATACATATTATTATTAGTAATAACCGTTGTTTATTAATTGTATTTAATGTTTTCTTAATCCCAAATCTTGACGTTTTTAATTCAAATGCCGCATATTTTAACCAATAATCAGATAAATTAAAATAGACGGAATAAACGCCGACGAATAATTGACAATATTCTCTGCGTTTTTGTGCAGATTTTCGGATGATTTTTCATCTCTATGTTAAATAAAAAAAACTAGAAAAGAACAAAGAGCTTAACAGATCTTGTTAGATCGGCGAGTTTACTATCAATTCCACAACTTTCAATGTCCCATAAAAAGTTTCACTTCAAAAATAATAAAATATCAATTAAAAATGCATAGAAATCTGTCTTCAGTGTTGTTTTTGTTTTCCTACATCATAACCAAGTTTATGTAACCCTTGTTGCAAAACATTCAATGTAAGTCGTACTTTTCCGTTGGAAGTCATCACAATCACTAAAAAGATTTGTATATTACAATTGTTACAATAATTGATTACAAATGAATTATTACTGTCATTTCCCAGACAATTTGCTAACATTTTTGGTTGAACAAGTTCTGGTTGATAACCAAAAAAGCTGCTTAAATAACCTAGTAATGTAGATGACTGTGGTTTAATTAGAGCAACGTCTACGGTATGCAATTTCGGTTGTAAAGGGATGTATGCTCTTCCATAGCCCACTAATTTCATGTTGTTATAAATACTCAAAATTATTTGAGGCCCTGAAAATAAGTAGTTATTTTTATTTATTGCGTAATTTTCATAATGAAACTTCAATTCATCTAAAATAATATCGTGAGATTGGATTAATTGAGATTAATTATCCGCCGAACCATTCCACCGCGAGGTAATTTTGAATCTTTGATACCTTTAAAAGTACTCATATAAATGATATACTGTAGGATAATTTTAATCCTAGTAAATGTTCAAGGTAACTAACATCTAGATACAGATTAATACTTAATATTAATAAGAGATAAATATATGCCTTTGCCGACTTTTCTCTAGGGTTTTTAAAGAACTGTAATTGTTTAGTACATTAATTTAATGTATCTCTTAACATTTAGACAGAGCCAGCCAGCTATAGATGCGCCCAAAAATCGAATTTTTGACAACTTATTGACTGTACCAACTGAATTTAAATGAGAACGTATTTTTAGTCAGAAACTTATCAAAAGTACCAGACGCGGATCACGATTTCGATCTTATGAGATCTGAGCGCGCCAGTCTTGTTAAATTACTTACTAAACCGAAGAAACTCCTAAACAGCGAGTTTATGTAATAGCTAAACGTTACCTGCGGGGTCGATTCAACTAGATGAACCTTTAACATTAGAAAGACCTTGTCCAACAAAATAGCAGTAAATAATCACCAAATGGTGATACATTGCCTCTACGTAAATATTTACACATATTATATTTATTTAATCAAAAGTTATAATTTTACACACATACATTATAACTCATTCTCTTATTTCCTAGGTGCTAATTCTGTTACTGAACAAACTAAATACAAAAAAATCCTACTTGACGCTCTTTTTTCCCCACCTACTCCCTATCCTATATTCTACTCTGCCCGCCCTCGTATCCCTCAAAATTCTCTTTACTTGACCCAGTCTATCACCATTCTCTTTTGCCATCTCGTAGCATTCATACCACGTCTCACCATTCACACATGCTTCAAGCTTTCTTCCTCCATTTTACAGTGTCTTTTTTCTTCTTTTTTTCCAATATCTATTCCATTCCCTATTCTAAAGCTTGCCATTACACTTATTTCCCTCCCTGTTTTTAAATAACTTGGCACCCAGTCTCCCTGCTGATCCCTACATACTATCTTTTTTGTACCCACTACATATCTAGACCTCTCTATTTTTCTTAAATCCTCTCTTATTATTTCTTCACCATTTCTTTTACCTTTGTCCTCTCCGTGAACTACTCCCTCATCTGTTCCTGTTTGATTTTTAAAATATTCAACGTTTCCTCCCTCTGTCTATCATATCTATTTTTTGTTCCTATTTGCATTACCTTCTTCCTCCATATTTCCTTTCTTATATCTCCTCCCACCCTACCTAACTTCTCATATTTTGCTACCCTACTTATTGCTTCTTCCCACATCTTCCCCCATTTCGCCCCCCTCCTTTTTACGTAATCTGGCGTACTTCTTTTTAATCTTAAAATCCACTTTATATATCTTTTATATAACAATTCTACTTGCCTTTTTTCCTACCATCCCTATATTTCAACCCCATAAAGCACTATATACTCCTCACCATCTTAAAAAACGTCATTTTTCTACCCCAGTCATTCTTAGGTACATGACTTCTGACCAAAACCCCATAACCTTCACAACATATTGCTCTCCTTCTAGCAACTTGATTCATAATATACACTTCATCCCTCTTATTATCACTGAAACTATATCCTAAGTAATTATACTTCCTCACTGTTTCTATCTCTATCCCTTTCAATACTATTCTGTTTTTCCCTTCCCCTTCTTCCTATCTTTCCGCCAACTTTCATTAGCTTCAATTTTTACTATTTACCTCCAACCCTTTCTTTAATAAGTATTTTTCTAGTCTTCCCACCATCTCCTTCAATCCCATAAAATTATCTGATACCGAAACTTTATCATCCTCATTATATTTTTTATTCCCACTACAATTCCCTCTTCTCTTACTTTACTCATCTCACCTTCCAGATCACTCATATATACGTTAAACAATTGCACACTTAGCTTGTTAAATGGAATTTGAAAATTATTGCGTATCCTTTACAGCTTGTATACATTTAAGATTCTATTTCAAACTGTTGGAATTTATCACACTTTTTCGTTATCTTTCGTAGTGTCATCTGACACTCTGTCATTAAACTATTGCCAGAGCTAATCCGGGGGGCAGGGTACGAGAAATCCCCCGTCCCAAAAAACTTGGATTACATAGTTTAGTACTGTGAAAAATGCTATGTGAATGAAATTAAATTAGGAAATTTAACTTTAAGTATCAGAAATAAATATGAGAAATGTATTATACAGAATTTAGGAAAAGTTCCTTCCCTACCACCACAATAATTATATCTGGATTCGCCTCTGCTACCGAAGTTTATTATAAAAGACCATTACAAAACTTAAAAGTCTAAAATTGAAACTCAAAACTGAAAATTTAGAATAATATTGTAAGTATAAGTAGTAATAGAACAATTATAACTTACATTGGTAAGGATTTGTAGATTTAAATATGATATCAATAGGAAAATTGAAAATGATTTTCTGTCCATTTGATACCACATTTACTATTTGGGAAACTGCCGCTTCTAATCCTTTAATATTTCTCCAATCGGGCCCAAAAGCAAATTCATATTTACAATGAAGAGAAGAACCAGGTGACGCTAATATATCAGCCCATTGAATTTGACCTGTTACAGACATTAGAAAAAAACTGGCGGATGTCATTATTACATACACTCAGTACATATATATGAACTTTCATAAAAACTATTCGTTTATAAAATTTCAGTAAGTTATTTCACATCTTGAATTGAATTACTCTGTTGAAAATCGTATTATTATTCCAAGTTTGTTGTCATAGTAACGACAGTACAAACTACAACAGGGAAAGGTTTTATTCTGTTCTAGACATTATTACATTTGTATAAGTATATCAGTTTAAACAGGTCTAAGCATATAGCGTCAAAACTACAGTCTTCTCTGACTACAGCTTACTAAAATGGTAACTGCTTGATCTTTCACAAGTAATTGTACTATTCACAACTAGATGGAGAATAAACGTGAATAATTATGAATTAATCCTAAGTGAAAAATATTGACCTTCAACTAGTAATACAATAATTGTAATTGCTATGTATTATCGTTAATTGGCTTGGGTAGCTTAAACTATTTTTTTTTACGTATTTTATAATGCCAACATCGTCAATCTTCTTAACGTATTCAATGTAATGAACATATACAATTATACGATACGTACATACATAGCTCTTCCATTTTAAAATAATTTTCGAATAGAAATTAAAAAAACAACGTAATAGTCTGGCGATGGGCATTTTTAATATTGTAAAATTTGTAGTTTCTAATTAATTACCTATCTGTATATTCTAAAGTCTCAAATATATTTAAATACAATATGTATGTAACATAATGAATAATATTACTTTGATTCACTCGTGTATAGGTAAGCAGTCCTAGTCCTTAATTTTCCGTACATGCGTAATTAAGTACGTCTAGGAGCATGGTTGTTATTTATATCCGAGATTTACTATACAGACCATATATATATATAATAATAAATACTTGCACCACACATGTTATAAATATTACGGTTTTATATATTAGGAATGCAATAACAAATTATCGATTGCTTTAGATCTTTTTCCTCAAATCCGTCACATAAAGCAAATTAGGACGGATGTAAAAAGAACAACTCAACTTCAATCGTCAAAGCTCGAATGCGTTGAATTTGTACCGTTTTCCGTTTTCATTCCGCGTTTACGTTAGCAGCAACATAGCGACCCACCCTGAGAAGTCGACTTGCCCAGGCCTCAATTAACTGACATACTATGCATTCTGAAAAGATTATATGCCACACAGTCAAAGTTTATTTTAACCATATGCGTTTATCTTTCGTTTTTGGATATTTTTACTTCAATAGATGAACATACATGGTAAATTTTGATAAAAGAAGTATACATACATAAGTATATACAATAATAAAGCTAGTTTCTTAAGGAGATAATGTAGGTATATGCATATGTATCTATTTTTATTCACATACCTACTTACACCTGTACATATGTACCTACATAAGTACCTTATAATGGGGAATAAAAATAATGATCGTGATTTCACCTTTAAAATCAGAAACATTAATATTCGTATTTAGGTAGCGTTTACTTTATAAATAAAATATTGTGTTTCTTCTACATCTACATATACAAATACTTCAATATTTCCAACACAGCTAGGTATAGGACAATATACAACGCAACATGTAGTAAATAATCTTAGATATCCACAGTAAATGCACAGTTTACTTAAAACTTTACAATTAATAAATTGTCATTTAATTTTTATATCAGAAGATGGTTTATGTAGTGTTATTTGCTGGAATATTCATCAACAATACTTACGAAAAGCGCAAACCCCGTAAAAAACATAGGTGAATGTTTTCAGGTTGGTTAATACTCATTTACGGTCGACCGAAAAGTCCACTAAAAAGGGATGAAATATAAAGGAAAGCAACACTATTTTACACGAAACTGTCTATATTAAGCTCAGCTATACGTCGCGCGTTTTCTCTTTCTATTACACACAAACATGGATCGAAACCGAGACCGTAAGTTGTAGCTTACCTAAAGGCGGAGCAACGTCGCATTCGAATACCGAAGCCCAGTATGTAGTGTGGAGCGAAAACAAGCAAGGGAAGTAGCTTGCACAGTGAAGTAGTGCTAAAAAATTGTGTGTGCCAATGTGAAAATAACAAAATAAGTGTATTAAATTAAGTGCGCGATTGCGAGTGCAAATGTGCAGTGAAAAATCAACGAATTGGTGTTAGTTATGGAAAGCAATCCCAGGAAGCATCATGTGAAATAGTGTGTGTTGTGTGCGCCCAAAAACAATTTTCTCAATGAGGTGTTTAGGGCAAAATGGTCAGAGAGACTAGACACCTTTGGGTCGGAAATTTGCCCGAGAATATACGAGAAGATAGGATACGAGAACACTTCAAACGGTAATAGTTAATTCCTTTTGTAGTTTACTCAGTGCCTAATTTGGAAGTGTTTTATTTCATTTTTCTTGTTCAGTGAGTGAATTTCGTGTTTACCACACATTACAACTTGGATTTATTTTCGTTCCTTTTCATTATCAAGGATTAGAGCTAGGCCTCGCCGGGTTGTACTTATTCTGATATGCCAAGTTGCCGTGAGTCGTTCCCCATTTTAGTAGTTTTTTAGTTTTTCATAATTTTTCGAATATTCATGCACCTAAATTTTTATTTTTGTAACGTAGATCATGATGACACGCAGTCATATGTATATGTAGGTACCTACTCTACGTCACAGTTCTAATCTACGTATACTATTAATGATTGGAAAGAATTAAATTAAATTAATATCTATCGAACGAAGAGAAAAAGTACATATTTATAAATTCACATTAAGTAGTAAATTGAAATTGAGATTAAGAATATCTTTCCCTTGATTTTTGTTCGTTGGGCATGGAATTAACTTTTATAAACCGTAAAAAATACCTATATAAAATTTTGTTTTTGATTTTTGGGGAATAAATTCGAAAGAGGTATAGTAAAGTTAATTTTAATTTACAAATAAATTGCTTATTTTAGGTACAAACATATTTTGCAGTTAATGAAATAATGTGTACATTTGTTATTCGTCAACCTACCTTGGTACGTAGGTACCCGTCAGGACTGAAAATATAACAAAATACTTAATAAAAAATTCATTTTTTCTACCAATGCTCGTCCTTTGACATATAAAATTGGTATTTTATGTTGGACATAGCTAATTAGTGATTGTTTTTTTTTTTCTTCATTGCAACAATAGCAGGTGAAATAAAATTTTGTATGCAGGGCCAGGTAAGAAAATGCAGCTATTATACGTAGGTACCTTTACATGCTTAGTCTAAACGGTGAAACAACTATAAAATTAGGTATCTCTAGTTTATATCTGCTTAGTCAGAAAGCTTAAGTACTTACCATATCAATTGTAGGTATATATACCGATGATAGGTATATTGTAATAAATAAACAACAATTAGGTAAAATTGTAGGGAGTGGATTGCTTAATGAGGTGGTCCAACTACCTATTTTGTTAATGATAACCAGGAAGGATTTTTAAATTCGTTGTACGGTTAGCTAAGTAGGTATTTCTAACAGTATTTTGCATTAGCATTTTCTCTAAAGTGTACTTCTACTTCCACATCAATAACGCAGAAATAAGATACACAGTAGGCAACTATCTCTTCATAGGTAAACACATCAGATAAGTAACTAACTATACTTCATCAATACACTGATACATAGATATACAAAATTTAAAATAGAATTTGTATAAGGGTAGTAGTAGTTATTGACGCAACTTTTTTTACACATACTTATCTAGGAATTACAAACAATGTCGTACCTCTTAATTATCTACCCATAAGGTAGGTGGGTGAATTTTGATAATAAATTTATTTTTCTTAAAAGGAAACACAAATGGTAGTTATAAGTAAATACGTGCTAATTGAATAATAATTGTGTCAGATTGTATTATAAACTCTTCCGGGTATCTACCTACCGACTAATTTTATCCAATGTAGTCAGTAATTTATCAAATACCAAACTGAATGTACATCATAAGCGGGTGATACTTTCAGTAACCATGTAGAAACTTTTATTTCCATTGTAAGTATCTCCTCATTTTAGAATTAAATGAACGAAAGATACACATGAAAATTTTCGTTTTCTTTTTGAATAATGATCAAAATTTGTATTTCAATTACTTACCTTCAACGTGTTTTGCAAAATCAAGATCAATTAATAACTACTTTTCTTGAGCTTCCAGCTAAAAATAAACAGAACTTATTCAATTAAACTGATGCTGTTTGGGGTCTAAAGGCCATCGTGTGTTGCGAGTTGCTTCAGAGATCTTTCCATCTCTTATATCCACATCGGAGATGGAAGAACCTCTGAAGATGTTTGCTTCTCGTACTACCGAAACGTTAGGAAGCAACTCTAAGACGCGATAGCCTTTAGACTTGAATCAGAACAGCAGCAGTTCATCTACTGACCGCGAAAGTCTTTACGAATTTGTTATACAATTAAATTAATGATATAAAATTAATAAAATCCAGTGGCTTTTAAATTTAGCTATCTACATTAGGGTGATTCAAATTTTCTTATTTTTTGCTGTTTTTTTCTTTCAAACAGGTGTAATAACTGTAAGTACGTATGAGCAGAACTGTGGTACAGGTAGGTATTTATTGGTGGCTCACTGAACTTTTTAGTGTTCTATAACCGTAGGGACTGCACAACTACACATATTTCATCTGTATCTCGTGAACAAGAAAACTAACACGAACGGGAGTAAGTCCATTGAAAACAGCATAAACTCTATAAAAAAAGTTCTGATGCATTTTTTTGTCAAGATAACACTTCGTTAATTTATTAGCTTTCTTATCCGGATTTGTATGATTAAAAAAAAAAACGATTTTACAACATAAAAAATATAATTTCTGGTTTCCATTAAATTTTTCTTCTGATCCAAAAGTGAGGAAAAAATCTTTTTGGTAGGTATTTTTTTCTTTTCATCTTTTAATAATCTGATAAAAAAATGAGAAATTCGAAAGAATAAAATTTAAATGGCGCTTTAATAGCAGTTGTTACCGTATGGGTTAATTAGTCATTAAAAACGTTAAATATGACCTTGCCGGTGTTAGTCATTGTTTGCATAATAAAAATAATTGTTTCGTTCAATAATAAAAAGCGCTATAGCTCTGTAACAGTATATGTACATGTGCTTGTAATAAAAATCGTTACCGTAATATTGTTCAAAATAAGTCTCAGAAAATAATATTTTTTATTTCATATCTAAAAGGTACTGAAGCACAGGAACATTATTAACTCAAAAAAGAAATATTATTTTACCGTATTTATCTCTAAAATAACTTTTGTTATCGAATAATCTGGTGTAGAGGTAAAATATTTGCTATTTATACTCTGTTGTTTTGTTCAAAAATAGTATGTCCAAGCAAATCTAGTGTGCGATTTTATCGCACAAAAATGCTTGGCACCAAATTACTTACGTAGGATTAATGTTTAGAAAGGTTTCTTAAATATCTGCTTATGTATGCATATGTTAAGCCGAATATGTGTAATTGCCACGTCCATGAAGCTAGCAGAGCAAAGTTGCCAGAACAAAAAAATGGCATAACTATTAATTAAATGCTAATCTAATGCCAATTAAACGCCCCTATAAAAATTACCGCGCTTCTTTGTTTTAAATATCGCGTGTTCTGCTAACTTTAGATAAACAGAGTAGAGCAGAGTATTGCTAGAGAATCAAAAATTAATCTAATCGAATGAAAAATTAAATGCTCCAATAAAAAAATATTGATTTCTGTTTTTAAAAGTATCATATGTTCTGCTAGCTTGTAGTTGTAATAAACAATTAAAAATAAATCTAACCGAAAGAAAATTAATTGATAATTTAATTGTTGTTAAAAAGTCATTGCCTCCCCTCTTTTTTTTTTCAAATATCGCCTTCACTGCTAGCTTCAGAGCAAATCAGAATAGTACAGTTAAAAATAATTCCAATTAGAATTTATTTTAGGCAAATTGACATTGGGCCCGCATTGGGAATTATTCGAATTATACCTAGTAAATTTGTTTTTTGAGTACTCAAAATTTGCCCAAGTACGATTGTTGCTTGCTACGGATATCCAATGAAAAAAAAAATTATTGTGGCATTTAATTAGCATTTAATGCTTCCATTCGGTTTCATTCGAATATATCTATCTTGCATCGCTAATCACTAATCTGCTTTAACTAGCAGAGCAGACGATAATTTAAAAAAAAAAGAAATAATCATTTTTTTATTGGAGCATTTAATTAGCGTTAAATTTTTAAATTCATCTTAATTTAGTTAGTTTTATATTTGTTTAGGAGTACTCTGCTCGGCTAGATTCATCTGAAGCTAGTATAACAGGCGCTATTTGTTAATAAAAGGGNAAAACGATTTTACAACATAAAAAATATAATTTCTGGTTTCCATTAAATTTTTCTTCTGATCCAAAAGTGAGGAAAAAATCTTTTTGGTAGGTATTTTTTTATTTTGTTTGTGTAAAATCGTTCTAAACAGTCGAGATATGTACCTACAACCATGACACAATAGAGTGAACAAAATGAAATACAAATACGGCAAAAAATGATAAAGGAATTCTTTTCATCACTTGTTTACGTAGAATCGAATTGATGTTTTTCTTTTTTGGAATAGGTTGCCACTTACGTATTCATTTATTTAAATAATTTTGTTTCAACAAATGCAATTGACAAACAGAACTCTATGGCCCCGTTCAGTGATATTAGTATTCGTGTAAATTTTTTTGTTCGCGAGATTTAAACTGATAGTCTAATAAAGGAAACGTGCATGGAAAACTAAAAAGTCCAATAAGTCATCAATAAATATCAATATTATGAGTCCCTTTAAACCAGAGTTTTTTACGGATGCATTTACCTCTGCACATGGATTTCGTCCCGTCTTTGATTTACCGATTTCATACAATATGAATTCAGGCAGAACAAAAAAGTTCTGTAATTACCATGAATTCCGTCCCACCAGCGATAAACCATTTTGCAAAAAGATACAGTAGTTGCTAGATATTGCATTTGGTATGTAGCATAAAATGTATTAATAATAATAAACAAGAAAGGTGTTTTGAACGTTTACTGGTACAAAATTTGCGGAAGCTACTGTATTATTTATTTTAACCCGTTTCTCCGGATACCCCCAGTCACCCGTTCTAATAACGACTTGTTATAACTTGATAAGCTAGTAGCCGTCTTATATCTGAAAAATTGCTTCACATTCAGTAACGATTACGTACCTACCCTGCTCATATATTCGAAATTGTCTAATTACAACGCTTTTGTGATAATTAGTGAGAAAGGTAACACTTTAGTGGTTGTGAATTTGTTTACGTTTAAATGCCATAAAAATTTATCCTAAAGAA